TGCATAATGAGCTCATATATAATTGCATAATCTGCTTATTAGTAGTAATAACAATCAATGTATTAGTAGTAAAAACTTGTTATAGGTTGTTTATTACTGTTTTATATCATCATATCCCCTTAGTATGAATAAATGGCTTTTACATATTCTGGGAGATTGAAAGTAGTGTTCTAGGAATGTGTACTCTCCTAACTCAAGGCCTCTCCTAAGGAGAGAACCTAACAATAGTGTCTGAGGAGCATCCATAGGGTCTCTCCATCTAGGCTGTCAAACGCGTTCTCATAGTCCACGAAGTTGACATAGAAGGATGAGTTCCACTCAATAGATTGCGCGACTATGATGACTATGTGTGAACAGTCTTTACGGAAGCCTGCTGGGTTCTGTCCACTGCTGTTTTCAGTCTTTCTAGGATTACCATGTTAAAGACCTTTCCCGGCACAGATAAGAGTGTCATTCCCCTGTAATTATTGCTGTCCCGTAGATCTCCTTTCTTTGGAGGCTTGATCAGGTGGCCTGTCTTCCAGTCCTCTGGGATGTCTTCTTCCTGCCTGATACGTGATGGAATAGCCTATACTGTAGCTCTGTAGAGGTGTTCAGGTCCGCTTTGATTGCTTCCGCAGGGATCCTGTCTGGTCATGGGGCTTTGCCATTATTCAGCAGGCAAATTGCTCTCCTGATCACTTCCTTGCTTGGCGTCTTGCAGTTGATTTGTAGGTCAGTTTCTGCTGGTGGGATATGGTGTGTAGTGTGAGGTGTTGGCCTGTTTAGGAGTTCATCAAAGTGCTCTGTCCATCTTTTCAGCTGTTCATCATGTGTTGTGAACCTGGGTTACAGTCAGGCCTGTTCACTACCATACAGCCTATGTATTTTTCTGCCATCACCTACCACATAACATTCCCTAAAGATAAAATCTGTTCAAATAGATGGCCTGATATCTGGATGTCATAAATAAATGCAGAATGAAACATAACATTATTTCCCACTTTAGTCTGTATACTTTGAGTTCTAATATTGTTGGGCAGCCTAGAATGGCTTTATAGGCCTGTGCCTCGTTTCCCAGAGCCTTTCTTAGCATTAGGATCATCGTTAGAACCTTCTTACGATGTATCTTTAGTAGGCAAGGTGTTTCCCAGAGCCTTCGTTAGTAACGTGGCTCTTAAAAACCTTTGCACGTCTACAGACCGAGAATGGTACAATTGCGGCCTGCAATTCCGGGCGTTCTTGCATGTGGTCATTCCTGCATCTGCAGGAACCCCTCTTCATACTTTTGTTGGTCAATTTTTAACCTAGGACAGGCGGGAGGTGGGGGCGCTCCAGTACAGTAGGTACCATAATGTTGGATGCCAAACGCCGATAAACCCCACAGAAGAAGAGGCGGGAGCAAAGGACAATGTGTGCTAGCTAGGTAGTCCTACGGTGGACTCCGGTACACAGCAGGCGGGGACACTGTGTGCTAGCTAGTATGCATACAGTGTCGCCTCCTGCCTGCTGTGTACTGGAGTAGATAACAGGAGGCGGGGGCGACACCGGTAGACAATGTCCTTCGCCACCCGCCTGTCGGGCACTGTTTACCCACAGTTCTGTTAATGACGGCGAGGGTAGGAGTTCAGCAGGCGGGAGTGAAGGACACTGTGTGCTAGCTAGCTAGTCCTAGGAGGACTCCGGTACACAGCAGGCGGGGACGACACTGTGTGCCAGCTAGCTAACTAGCAAGTTAGCTAGCACACGGTGTCGCTAACTAGCAAGCTAGCTAGTTAGCACATGGTGTCGCCCCCGCTAGCACAACAGTAGACAGTGTCCTTTGCCCCCGCCTGTTGGGCCCCGTTTTCCTGCAGTTCTATTAACAACTGTCTACCAGTGTTAAACCGCCTCCCACTAGATAGTAAGAAGGACTCCGGTACACAGCAGACGGGGGCGACACTCTCTGCTAGCTAGCTAGCAAGCAAGGAGGACTCCGGTACACAACTCTGATAATACTTTTATTTCCCTTTTGACCCATAGTCAAAAGTGTCATACAAGCATGAAGATGTCGTGTTCGAGGGGGGGCGTTCATGCAGGAACCATATTGATGCTCGAGGGGGGGCGTTCCTGCAGATGCAGGAATGCCCACATGCAGGAACGCCCCAAATTGGGGGCCACAATCACACACTATTGTCCAGACCACTCGTAGAGCAGCCAAAGCGCATCGTTAGATGCTTTTTTGCCCTTCTGTGTCACTTTATTCACAGAACATCTCCACTAAACATAGAACCAAGATGTTTAGGCTATCTGTCTGACTGTGACTGCTGATAACTTCAGAACGAAGTTGACTACAAATACAGTTGCCAAAGTATTTGCAATTGTTACAAAGAAGTGAAGGATAAAATGATGCTTCAAAAGATGACTCCATTAAAAGATATATAAGCTACATGGGCCAATATAGGCTATTTAAGTGATATTTAAATACATTTTATGTTCAATCAATTGAGTTATTTTTTGCAACTAGGCTACTGTCTGTAATTTTTGTCTCAATGTGTTTCATGATGTGTGACGTGCACAATGATGTGCCCTATCTGCGATTTTGTGCATTATTATTGGGTAAGCATAATAAGCCGCTTCAATAGCCTATTTGCAGCCCTAGGTGGTAATATCTCTCTACTAAGCTGATCCGTCATCAGTATTGTGGAATAATTCTAATGTCAATGTAAGACTTGCATGGAGAATGCTGATCCGAGACCAGCGCTGCTTTTCTTTCCATTTGTTCAGTATGCCAGTGTCAACACATGTGAAAACAGCACATTTCTACATTATGTCAAAAAATATATAAAGTTAAAAAGTTCTACCCATCTAGTTCTACATCATCAAAAGTTAAAACATTTTAAAAACAGTGATTTTCAAACACTGAGATTTGTGGTGACGTGGGGAGCAATAAAATACCCTACCTTGGCCTGGAAACTCGTTGCAGGTTTTGAAAATCACTGTTTTTTTACTTTTAATCCTACCCTGTGATGTCACACAGTACGGTTACATGCACACAATAATATGATTACTGTGGATTAATATAATAGTTAGTTAAAACATTTACATCAGAGCCAGCCACAGGCATAAGCAACATAAGTGGTCGCTTAGGGCCCCAGGAACTCAGTCAGCGTCTCAACTTACTATTGAGAGTAAGAATAGTAGAATACGCAAGGTGCAAGTTCAAAATTTGGTTGTGCATCAGCAATTTTTCTCTTGTTATGTCACTCACTGACAGTCACTCAATTAGCCCATGTCAGTTAATACATTTTAGATTGGTAAATTAGTCTAGTTAGTCTAGCCAGCTATCTAAACTTGTAGTAATCATGTCTGAATACCGACCGGTCACGCAGGGCTCGTGCCCAGGGGCCCTGACCTCCAGGGGGCCCCAATTGATTTTGTTAGTCACTAGCACTCAGATATCATTAACATATAATAAGTCATGGCAAAATGTGCAGAATTGCAGAAAATGTGCTTTAAAACTGGAAAAGAATCTCTCCACCCCATGGCAAAATTGGTAGAATTGCAGGAAATTAGCTGTAAAACTGATGATTTTTTTTTTTTACCCCATGGCAAACTTTTTAGAATTGCATGAAATTTGTTCTAAAATTACAATATTTTCTCTCCACCCCATGGCAAAACGTGTAGAACTGCAGAACACTCGCTTTAACTCACCAACCAAATCTAGTTTAGGGCCCCCAAAAGGCTGGTTTTCATGCTTTGCAAGAATAACTATTTCCCTAATAACCTGATGGGACTTAAATACATTCAGAAAATCACCAATCAAAATAAACATCTATGTTATTTTTGAGAAGCCTATTTGATTCTGAGTTTGGACATATAAAGTTTTATGTGAAAGCTATTTCTAAGATGCATACTTTCAGTTTTTCCGAACTCACTTCACTGGCATGCATGAGAGAGAGGCTTGCACTATGTGCAGATCAAATACACAGCTGGAACACAGATTAAGCTGTTTACATGTCCTAATAATTTGAAAGATTGGTCAGAAAACCAGGTGCTTTAATCAGTCTATGCTTACTTCGATTTTTAACTTACCCCTATTAAGATAAGCAGAGTAACACGACTATTGCCATACTCGGCCTACTGCCTTAATCAGTTTAATATCGAATTATTAGTGTGCATTTAAACATAATCACAGAGAATAATTTTTTTTAGGACCTTTCTTTTTATCTTTTTAACCACAGACCATAGAAACGCGCTGTTTTCACATATGTAGACACTGGTTTGGTGCTGGAGATGATGAATATGAGGTTGAAAAGTGGCGGAATTGTCCTTTAAATTGGCTAGTAAATAAAGATGCATCTGGTTTGATCATCGTAACCCACTGGGCACAGACGTCAATTCAACATCTATTCCACGGTGGTTCAACGTAATTTCATTGAAATGATGTGGAAACAACGTTGATTCAACCAGTGTGTGCCCATTTGGAATTACATCGCAACTGCAAAACGAGGCCCTGGTCTCTTTCTCTCTCGTGCTCTCTCTCTCTCGCGCTATCTCTCTCATCAATAGGCTACCCCTGAACAAAACAGAAAGAGACATATGAACCCACGAGAACTGATTAAAAAAAAGCTTATAATTATAAGCCGAGTTAAATAATTATATGAATTACATTGTTATAACTAAAGTTCAACAATGAAAATCCTGACAAAATGATGTATGTAATGTTCCCATTCATTGTTGTGGATAATAGTTACGAAAAGGTCGTGTGGATTAAAAATTATATTTTTCTTTCTCAATTGAAACCAGATGGTGTCCAGTATCTTGCCAGTCAAGACAAACGGAACCAATCAACAGTCCCTAAACTTTTAAATCCCTCCCGCTTAACTTCGGGTGAGTTTGGGTCAGAGGTAGAAGTTGATGTGGGTTGAAATTCCTATAGAACGCGCTGTCCCCCCGTCCGCTTCTTCTTATCTAGATGCAAGAGCCGCCGACTGAATCAACCGCTGCTAGATCAATGCATAGCTTTTAAAACATTTATAATGGCGATGGGAAAATTAACGATATTTCTACTTCAGTTGTCGTGGACTGTCCATCTTGTAACAGGCATTCAGAGGAAAGATATATTTCCTTATGGGACACTGAGCGGCGATTTCACTCTACAGGAGGGGGACGACGAGACGTCCAAAGTACTCGCATTGAAGAGACCTCTCTATTTCTATGAGGCGCAGTTCAATGAGCTATACGTGAGTATGAACTATGACTTATATTTGCCTTGTGCGCTAAGTATTCGGGGTATATTTGTGGTTCTTGGTCATTGCACATATATGAGAATGATAACTAATATGTCAAGAGACATTTTCTAGTACGGTCACTGAAGAAATAACACGTTTAGTAATCTTTTAAAAACTTGTCAAACTGTGTTCTGTCGAGGTACATTGCACGTGAACATGGAGTTTAACTAGGCAAATTCAGGGTAATGAAATTATGAAATGAATAACATATCTCATTCCTCGTAGCATAGCCTACTGTTTCTTGTCAATGGATCGATTTTGGACATGATGGAATTAAATAGGAAAATATGCCGATGCATAGGGAAAATTGAATAAGATTATTATTCATTCAATTAAGTATTTTGGTTCTATGTTCCAATCATGAAACACTTGCTTTCTTTGCATCTGTTACATGAGTTCATTAAAGGAAAGATTCACGTATTTGAATGTTATATCGTATTTGTGCATCTCTGAGCGATGTTCTATCGATTCCCATGGTAATTTTTATGTTATATGAGTATCTAGGCTATTCGTTTAAGCAGGCAGAAATACAGCCGGTATGACACGTTTTGCATAATGCGTCATACTGGCTGTATTTCTGCCTGCTTGAACGGCGAATAGCTCAGATACACATACAAACTGAAATGATCCCAGGAATCGATTAAACATTGCTCAGAGATGCACAAATACGATATAACATTAAAAATGGGATGAATCTTTCCTTTAAGTCACTCTTAGGAATCTGTGACCATTGAGTCGCTACCCCGCAGGTTGTCAGAGTTGAACTCCCTTGGGCAAATCACCCATGTACTCATATCAATAGATCACTTGTTAGAATCCATTGGGGGTTCCAGCGAAAGAGTTTTAAAACGGACATTTTAAATTAAAAGTAGTACAACAAAGTTAATATTTTGTGCTGATTGTCAGAAGAAACACGTTTTCAACTAAATAAATTCCCTGAGGAAATGTATTTTACACATTGGAATTTTCTCAGGGCATCAGAGCATGGAAATACCAAGGCACAATTCGCCAGACAACTCGACGCAAATATACACAACCAGTCAAAAGTTTGGACACACCTACTCATTCAAGGGTTTTTCTTTATTTTTTACTATTTTTTACATTGTAGAATAATAGTGAAGACATCAAAACTATGAAATAACACATATGGAATCATGTAGTAAACAAAAAAGTGTTAAACAAATCAAAATATATTTTATATTTGAGATTCTTCAAATAGCCACCCTTTGCCTTGATGACACCCACCAGTTGAGAATCGCTGAGTTAAAGTGCATGTTTTTGACTCACAAGGTAAAAAGTGCATGTTTTTGACACCAAGGTAAAAAAAAGTCCTTTATAGGATCTGGTACACTTCTTGAGAGGTCTTCCCTTTGGCCTTTGGAGCAAAACATTTTCAATTACAAATTGCCCCTTATCCCTAACTCCAACCCCATAAGGCATCCTCTAGCTCTGAAAGGATTGGATAAGCTATCTGTAATTACTTCAGCTCAACTTATGATAGGTTGGGTGACATTTTTTGCTGTATTGTATCCAATCATTAAACTGTTTCAGATCTACAGGAGTGCCTAAGGGCCAGGGCTCACTTGATAAAAACAGATGTCAATCTCAATTTGACCTCCCTGGTTAAATTGTGGCCCCGTGTATCTCAGTTGGTAGAGCATGGCGTTTGCGACGCCAGGGTTGTGGGTTCGATTCCCATGGGGGGCCAGTATGAAAAATGTATGCGCTCACTAACTTTAAGTCGCTCTGGATAAGAGCATCTGCTAAATGACTAAAATGTAAAAACAAAAATGGTTAAATAAGGGGTCGATTTGCAATTCAGCACTAAATCCTATTTCCCTCACTGCATTCTTTCCCCATTCCTTCTTCTCCAGGTGGCAACCAATGGTATCATCTCAGCCCAGGACCTGCCTATGGAGAAGCAGTACGTGGACGACGGCTTCCCCACCGACTTCCCTGTCATCGCCCCCTTCCTGGCAGACATCGACACCAGCAAGGGGAAGGGCGCCATCTACTACCGGGTCACAGAGTCGCCCACCCTTCTCAACCGGGTGGCGCAGGAGGTGCACCGGGGCTTCCCCGACGGCCGCTTCACACCCACGCACGCCATCATCGCCACCTGGGAGAACGTGGCCGCCTACGAGGAGGTGACGCGCGCCACTGGGCCATCCGATAGGGTGAGTCTGGCTGTCTGTTTGTCTATCATTTTCTTGGTCTGTCTTTCTATCGGTCCGTTTGTCTGTCTGTCTGTCTCTCTGTAGCTGTGTCTGCAGCCTGTAGGGAGTTACTAAGTATATATGACTCCCCCCTCCCTCCCCCTAGGGATTTGGGTTCCCCTCCCTCCCTCATCCCTAAACTGCCTCTTGACCTTTGGTCACTGGCCAGAGGTCATCAATCCGGGTCATCAGCCGTCCACTTCAACTCGTCCCCCCTCCATCCCGCCACCCTCTGTCCCCCTCCTACCCCCAAGGGCGACTGGGCATGTCTCTCCCACCCACACAGTCTATTAGGGATCAAGTCATCATATTATGTGTTACCCATAGAAATATAACTACTAGAATGGATATTCCCATTCAAGTCAATGTTCAAGTAATTCTATTTCTATGGTCATCTTCATGTATTACTCACAGAAAACATGTTATGTGAAAGTCTCTCAAACCCTCCATTAGGCATGTAACTTATCATTAAGAGTGCATATTTCTGGCTAGCTACTAAAGAGGTATTGCAGAGATTATGAGGACAAAAACGTAGAAAGCAGCTTGGTTCAATCAGATAACATCTCCTCTACTCTGACTGTGCCAAGATCCTAGAATCAGATCAGATCAGGAGTCTTATTCTCTAGAGAGCCTCTGTGGAGTGTTCCCTTTCACTATAAAAACACTTGATATAAGTCTATGGGGAGAAACCAGAGAAACCATACCCTTGCCCCATGCTCAATGGAGAGGCTTGTGCTTTCTAATATGGGAGCAGTGTGAGACTGCCGCTGCTAGTGCTATCAGTCATCATCATAATGCTTGGGCTTTACTTCTTAAGGTAATGGATTAAACGTAATGGATTCAATCACACAGACTGGCTATTGTGCATTGTACATCACACTGATAGCTCTTAGGGTTGCTTGTTCTAGAATCTATAAGGTCCTGGATAGACTTATTCACAGAATACAAACCTAGATTTCACCTATCCCATTTATAATTGACCCTTCGCTAATTCCCGCCCTGGGATTTTGGGCAACCAATCGCAGTGCTCCAATGGATAGCAACTGTCGTCGAGTCCAACACCTCAGAAAAGCTTACAAGCTCACGTTTAAATTGCATGAAAGACAATGACAAAACGGAGACTTCTTTAAAAAATACATTGTTTAACCTCTTAAGGATCAGACCCTTTTTTCAATTTTTGCCTAAAATGACATACCCAAATCCTGTAGCTCAGGACCTGAAGCAAGGGCATGCATATTCTTGATACCATTTGAAAGGAAACACCTTGAGGTCTGTGGAAATGTGAAATTAATGTAGGAGAACATAACACATTAGATCTGGTAAAAGATAATACAAACAAAAAAACATGCATTTTCTATTATTTGTTTGGTTCCATCATCTTAGAAATTCAAGAGAAAGGCCCCAATATAATATTGCAGTTTAGGCGCAATTTAGAATTTGGCCCTAGATGGAAGCAGTGTGTGTGCAAAGTTTCAGATTGATCCAGTGAAGCATTGCAATACTGAAATGTGCCGAATTTGTCAATTGATACATTTTCAAGTACATAACTATAGAGAACATACAAAAATGATATGGTAATACAAAATGCAAGTTTACACACTCCCAGGAATGTCATACATGATGGATCATTAGCTTATACACTCACTTTCACAGATCTAGATGGGTGTGGAGCCAGAGACAGCAGGGGTTCAAACTGTAGAACCCAGTTCCTACATTTGAATATAAAAATGGATTTTATCAAACTATGCTACATTTTATCTCTGGGACCCTTAGGATGAAATCAGAGCAAGATTACTGAATGTAAGTACATTATTTACCTTCAAAGGTGAATGTATCAACCCAGTTGACGTGATACGTTTTTTGTTGTTGCGCACTCTCCTCAAACAATAGTATGGTATTTTTTCCCACTGTAATAGCTACTGTAAATTGGACAGTGCAGTTAGATTAACAATAATTTAAGATTTCTGCCCATATAAGACATGTCTATGTCCTGGAAAGTTTGCTGTTACTTACAACAGTCATGCTAATCACATTAGCGCACGTTATCTCAACCGTCCCGTATACGTGACATCGATCCTGTAGAGGTTAAATTACTAAATAATTGAACAATGCATCAGTAGTACTTGCTACTGTGTGTTGGAGTATTTTTCAAATCTGAAATTATACTTTTGTTACATTGTTTGTTAGCTCAGCTGGTTAGCTAGCTTTCAGTCTCATTGACCACCAAACATTGCTTACGCTTGCTAGCCACTTAATATAACTTGTTTTCTCAAAATGTATATTAGCTAGCAAAGTTAGCAGTTTTGAATACAATTCCCATCTGCTGTCGACGTCAGGATACGATTTGAGAGCACTAGTTAGCTCCAAAAGTGGTTATAGCTTTGACTGCATGCTAACAGTAAATTCAGAGCCATTCAGCGGCTAGCCACACTACAAACATAATTTTACCAGGTTCCCGTGAACCAATTGTAATAACAGTCCACCACAACATACCCAAGAGTTTCATGATTAGCAAGGGGTAGTCTGTGTTTAATTTAATTGTGTATTAAAAACACAGTTTGAGATCATTGTGAGGGGATTTTTCCAGTGGTTAGAATGGGTAAATATTGTCTGAGGTTGCAATAGTAACTAAGGGGGGTGGGGCTTAGCGAAGGGTCAATTGGATTAACTAACATGTTCGCTAAGCACGAGAGCAATGTTTGTGAAAGTGTGGTCCTAGACACAGTACACAAATAATGCAATACCTTTCATGAAAAATACCAAGATTCTCCCTTCAGCTGCTAATTCATTAACTCTTGGAATCGGGAGATTCGGGGTATTAAGAGTGTCTGGTTGTTCGCTATGAGGGGGGTCCCTCAGGTTGAAATGGATTGACTTCAGAGTTCTGTGTGTGTGCGTACATGCGTGCATGCACGTGTGTGATGAGGAAAGTCCCACTGACTTGAACTGAACAGCCATAATATTCAGTGTCGCCTAGTGATTCTAATGCGTGTGAATGAATAGGCTTTTCTGTTGGACCAGGGCCCACGCCTTCTCTCTCAGTGAGAGAGAGCAGACAGCTGTGACGGCACACTGGAAATATTGTATTTTGTTATTTATTAGTTCTGGGAACGCCTCTGCTCTTGCCCTTAACAAGGGTCCTCCTTGGAAACACCTCCCCTCTTGTTGAAGTCTCTAAGTGCAAGGGAACATGAGTAAACCAAACAATCTGAATCAAAACCATACAGCTTGTTGATTAGAGGCCTTACTGTTCTGTTTCTCTCTTATGCTTGGATCATGTTCGGGGGGTTTTGGTGCCAAAACCACATTTTGTCACCCTAAAGCACAATCTGTCCCCACATTTTATTACATTGGTGTAAGAGAACATGAAAGCAGGCTGTAAAATTAGCAGACCTGTCTGGCAACCCTGCTAATGTGTGTTTGTGTGTTCTTGTCTGTCTGTCCGCGTGTGTGTCTGTCGAATCAAATCAAATTCTATGTGTCACATAATAATAATATGCCATTTAGCAGACGCTTTCATCCAAAGCGACTTACAGTCATGTGCGCATACATTTTTACATATGGGTGGTCCCGGGGATCGAACCCACTACCCTGGCGTTACAAGCGCCATGCTCTACCAATTGAGCTACAGAGGACCACATGCGCAGAATACAACAGTTGTAGACCTTAGAGTGAAATGCTTACTTACAACCCCTTAACCAACAATGCAGTTTTAAGAAAAATAAGTGTTAAGTGAAAAAGAGATAAGTAAATAGTAAAAAATAAGCAAAATAACAAATAATTCAAGAGCAGCAGTAAAATAACAGTAGCGAGTCTATATATTTACATTTACATTTTAGTCATTTAGCAGACGCTCTTATCCAGAGTGACTTACAGTTAGTGAGTGCATACGTTTTCATACCGCCCCCCCCGTGGGAAACAAACCCACAACCCTGGCGTTGCAAGCACCATGCTCTACCAACTGAGCTACACGGGGCCACCGGTACAGGGGGTACCGGTACAGAGTCAATATGCGGGCCACAGGTTAGTCTGTGTGTCCTTCTGTGTGTGTGTGTGTGAGTTCCCATATCGTTGGCAGTGCCTAATGGACTGGTTGGCAGCCTACTCATCTGCAGCTGCGGACCCTGCGGACGCTGCCTCAAAACCTGGCAACAAACAAACAACGGCATCTGTCTCGTGGCATTTTTGCCATTCCACTCTTCCTCTCTCACACACACACATTTCAAGAGGGTCTGGGAGACGTCTGGTGTGTGTCTGTCTGTGTGCTCCGATCCCAGACTGGCCCCTAGTCATCACTGACTCACCCAACAGATCTTTGTGGTAGTCTCCAGTTCAAGTGTTGCTGTGACATGACCAAGAATACACTCCTTGAACATCTTTGATAGACAGTATTAATGAAGTGTGTGCGCGTGCATGTTTTCTGTGCGTATGTGTGTGTAGGAGTTGGACTCTATAGTAAAAGCACACTCTCTTCCTCTGGCTTTTGGTTATCTACTATGTTTCCGCTTGACCGACCGCACCATGGAGGGGAAGAAGAGAGTGTGACAGCCGGTGTGTTTCACTCCGGTCGGAGGAGGGGAAGCGACATTTCAAGGGCAAAGGAAAAACCTCTGGATGATCCCTCTGTGTTTTCCTTTGGGATTGGAACGGCTTTATCTCTTGGAACAACACAGCTCTCCAGCCTACCACCCCTCCAGCTCAACCAAGCCTCTGCAACCACCCCCAGCCCCAGATGTCCATCTCCCCACCTCCCTACCTCCCCAGCTGGTGTTGGGGGGTGGGTGTGTGGTGGGTGGAGGATGTTGGAGGTCTGTTGAAGTGTTAGCCCTTGAGCAAATATGCAGTGGTGGAAGTCTGCTCTAAAGTATTTGGAGCAAATCTCAACAATGAGAGGGTCTGGGTGCCATCATCTGCCATCATCTCATCAGGCTCGGCACGGTGACCTGTGGTACCATCCGTCTCCATTCCCAGTCCCCTACCTCCACGTCAAACCCAACACCCCCTTCCCCCAAATGTATGCCCGCCTCCCCATCCCCATCAAATCAAATCAAAATGTATTTGTCACATACACGTGTTTAGCAGATGTTTTTGCGGGTGTAGCGAAATGCTTGTGCTTCTAGCTCCAACAGTGCAGTGATATCTAACAAGTAATATCTAACAATTTCACAGCATATCCCCAATACACACGTGGGAAGAGTCATTTACAATACATCTTTAAACAATCTTGTTTATGGGCTTGTTTTCTGGAGCTGCTCCGAGGCAGTGTGGTCTTGTAATTAGGGAACTTTTCTGTGGCTGTGGGGGAGGGGTGGGGTGGGGGGTGGGGGGGGTGTAATTAGTAAGCCTAAGGGTCTCTCTTCTCTCTTGTCTGTCTCTTGTCTTTCTGTCTCTCGCTATTCTCGCTCTTTCTCTTCTTTCTCTGTCTTTTTCTCTCTCTCCTGTCTCTCTTGCTATTCCCTCTCTCTCTTTGAACCAGATGCATGATTGTCTCTGGGGTCTGGAATGGGGGAATGAGGGTGGAGGAGGGGTTTGTTTTTACTGTGACAGTGGTGATGAAGGTGATAGCTCCGCTCTGGGATAGCTCCTTGGATTACTGGAGTGGGGGGAGGAGAGGAGTGAGGGATTTCATACAGGTCCAGGGTGAAGGAGAGATAAGAGAGGTTGGGGGGGGGGGGTTGGGTGTCTCTGTCCTCAAAGTTGAAAATACCATGCTGGGTGAGATATGGGCCTCTATCACCATTTGCTCTCATTCCCAAACTACATCAGTCTAGGCCTGTAAACTGTGTGTGTAAACTGTGTGTGGCCATCGAGAAGTCGTCTTCTCCTCTTTGACGGTTGAAGACGTAACCCCCACTCAGCCGCTCTCTTGAAGTTTTTGTGTTCCCACACTTCCCACACATTTAATTAAACGGCTCAGAAAACCACACTGCTTGTAATAATAACAAATTGCACAAGACAAGACATCAAGAGCGGGTCCCCTCCCAAGCCCTCTACACATTTAATTATGGTATTTTAAGCCTTTTAGTGGTGTGCAGGACCTCTTTAAAAGGGTGTGAAAACCTGCTTGGAGGGGGAAGAGGTCAGCTTCAAAAAAAAAAACTCCATAAAGGGTATCGGGCGAAATGTTTCCGGGGGGTGGGGGGGCACATTTGGTGAGAAACCCTGGCTTGTAAAAACGGTGACGCGCCTGTAAAAGTTGGAGGACAGGAATGATATTCAGTCAACATTTTGGAGTAGGGGGGTAGGGGGAGAGTGGTGTGAAGTTTAAACATGGGGAGTCAGTGTTAAAATGTTAGGAGGATGACTGTCTGTTCCCTGGGCACTGATAAGGCAGAGGATGAGAAATGGAATGCAGTGCACTGTACTATACATTACTTGGAAAGAGCTGTTACAGAGTTTGATTGAAGCTCTGTTCACTTTCAGTTGGCTCTCCTTTAAGAAGTGTGGCTTTTTGATTCTCGACTCTAAACATTGTGAGGGCAGTGGCACCACTACTTTTGAAAAGTTGTTTGTGTATTGAGGAGTTTGAGTTTTGCACTTCTGTTATAGCACTGATAATGCTACCACTGTGCTTACCACAGTGTTTTTCTTATACTGTTAAATCCTTACTTGAGACTTATACACAAAATGTCAACCTTTGAGTGAATCATACATTGATGTCAATGGGAGTCCAAAATACACATTTTTATTCTGTTACAGTGTTTTCCCTATAAGCGCCGGCCGTCGGCTAAACAGCCGGTAACAGCCTCATTTTCAGCCAGCAACTTTTTCTACGAGAATGCCCTTGTCTGTCTGTGTGTCTACCACTATGCTAACGGAAACTGTCTTCTTGTACATAGAAGGTCTTTCCCAAAAACCTCAAGTAAATGTTAACTACAAAGTCGCCTATGCTTACCTGGCAGAATGATATCATGATTATTTGCATCAATCCAGTGGGTGTTTGTTTTGCAACCTCTACCATGTGCGCTACAGAAACATGGCTAAAGAACAGCCTCTTGGTAGGTGCAGACTTGAATTAAAGGGTAACTACACAAAGAAAATAACAAAAATCATATTTTTCCCAGACCTCAATTTGGTTGCTTTGCTATTAAAAATGCGTGGTTTTGAGAGTGAAAACGTGGAAAAACAGGGAACATTTCTAAACCTGAAAAAACTAAAGCAGAATTAGGCAAAAAATTAAACAGATTTTATAGGGCTCTACGAATCGCATCGGTAAGAGAGTCATTTGGCTCTCTAATTTATATATTGGTAGGCTACTACTGCTTTTTGGCGATTATCTGCAAATAAATGATGAAAACATTCGATGAAGATGGTGAATCCTCCCTGCAGTAACAATAGGTAGTGGAGAGAGAGCCTCATTCTGGTCCAAAATACGATAAAAGAAAGATTGAATTCTTATAAAAGCCCATGATACTTATATGGTATTTTTTAAAGATATTAATATAGACCTACTAATTTGATGAAAGTGTAGAAAATGGAGTAGTCAACTGCTGCTTTCGGTGTAGCAGAAACACCTGCTTCATCATACATGTTGCAGGTAGCTGAAAAAAATGCCGAATAAAAGAAAGCTAAAAGAAAGCATTAATATCATGTGGAAACACTGCCAAGGAAACTAAACGAAACGAAAGCATGGGTTGCTGTCATACCTTGTCAATAGACTGCTTACAGGGTAAGGAAACCAATGTGTCATTTTGTAATTTGGGTGAACTATCCCTTTAATAATAATAATAATAATAAAAATAACTCCTGAGTGGCGCAGTGGTCTAAGGCACTGCATCGCAGTGCTAACTGTGCCACTAGAGATCCTGGTTCGAATCCAGGCTCTGTCGCAGCCGGCCGCGACCGGGAGACTCATGGGCGGCGCACAATTGGCCCAGCGTCGTCCAGGGTAGGGGAGGGAATGGCCGGCAGGGATGTAGCTCAGTTGATAGAGCATGGCTTTTGCAACGCCAGGGTTGTGGGTTCGATTCCCACGGGGGGCCAGTATAAAAAAAAAAGATGTATTCACTAACTGTAAGTCGCTCTGGATAAGAGCGTCTGCTAAATGACTCAAATGTAAATGTAAATGTAATATTTTCTTAGAAAATAGTCCTGATCATATAGGCCTAGGCCTAGACGTTATCCAAAACAACTAACAATACACTGAATTCATACATTTTCAAATTGTAAAGTCACATCTTTCTACTCAATACCACAACTCATTTTACCAATCTGGGAGGTAACCTCGATAAAGTATTCAATAACTTCGCTGTGTATTTCAGATGGAATCAAGGCATTAGAATGTACCAGAGGCCACCAAAATAGAGCTTGTTCAGGGGGGGGCATCTCCCGAGCCCGGAGAACCCTGTCTGGCTACATTTTCTATTTGTCTGGCTACTCCATGTACATAGGGAAAACACTGCTGTTAGCTAGTCACTTGAAATAAAAGCGTCTTCAAATTCCATGTACAGTAAATGCCATGCAAAACATTTCCAATGAAACTGTAGAGGTACAGACTGTAAAATGCAAGGTTGCCAAACTAAAAGGGCTTTGTACAAACAGTGCACTTACTCCACACCCTCCACCCTCTTATCTCCTCTGTAGTTGAACACATTCCAGGCGGTGGTGGCCTACGATGAGAACGACTCCTATGCCCTCTTCCTCTACCCCGAGGATGGATTGCATTTCTTTGGGACGCGCCCTAAAGAGTCCTACAATGTGGAGATTGAGCTGCCGGCTAGAGTTGGCTTTAGCAGGGGAGAAGTGTCCTTTATATTTTCTCGGATGGAGGGACCCTACTACAGCGTCACCAGCAATGAGCAGAGCCTAAAGAACCTCTACCAGTAAGTACAGGACGTCCCTACTCCTTATGGCATAAGACCCAAACATAGTGTTAGTTATATTGAATTCCTTACCTGAGGTTATAAAACTGGGATCTGTTATGAAAGGTTTTTAGTGTTCCAACTGTTCTGGCACTTATTTTACAGAGATGTTATGTAAGGACTTTGTAGCAAGATAGATAGTACATGCAGTTTCTTTCTCCTGAAATGCAGAAAGATGCTTCTTCTCCTCCTTTTCCTTTTCTCCCTTTCCTCAGGGTTGGCAATACTGGCGTACCTGGTGTGTGGCTCTTCCACATCGGCAACCGCTACTCCTTCGAGAATGTTGTGCCCGCCGCTGTGGGTGGCGCCCTCGCCACGCCACCTCCTAGAGGCCAGGAGGGCGATGACAGCACCACTGCAGAGTACCCAGAGGTAGAGTACCATGAAACCTTTGAAGAAGAAGAACCCGACGAGGACTACCCACCCATCGCCGACCCCGACTTCCAGTCCCCAACTATCCCAGAGTTCCTCCAGCCCTCACACCCGGACCATGGCGCCCTCCCGGATCAAGCCCGCCTGCAGTCCTACGGAGGTGACCTTCCTTTAACCTCTGACCCCCAGTATCGTGAACATGACAACCATGGCAAGCCACCTCCAGCATCCAGTCCGTCCGGTCCAGGGGAGTACCCGGCCGAGTACCCAGCCCGGGAGCCCGAGCCCAGGAACCAGCCCCACGAGCCCCCTCTGGAGGACGTGCAACAGCAACAGCATCAGCAGCTCCAGCCCCAGGCCCAAGCCCCCCAGGTGGTCCCTCGGCCGGAGCACACGGTCCTGGAGGTGTTCCCCAACAACAGGAGGGAGAGCAGCCCTCGTACGGAGAGCGGTCCCCCGCTGGCCCCCGGTGGCGGACATTTTGTTAGCGTAGTAGAGGAGGAGGACGTGGACTTTGACACAGGAGGTGGGTTCAAGTCTGATGTTTTCTCTTAAGCTAGCTAGTTCAGTCAGTGTTCTTCACTGTGGGGTCCTGAGAACCCACAGTGGATTTGCAGGCTTTTAGTCCAACCCAGTACTAGTAACATACCTGATGCAGCTCATAACCTCCTCTTGTATCATCCTGTATCCTTGTATACTCATGTATATCACCTCTGTCTTTTTTAGCTTTTGTCTGCCTTTCACTCTGTCCATCTGTAAACCAGCTTCCCACTCAAGGCTGGATAGGACCTGTTCTCATTCACCATCATTCCTTGGTTTCATTGTTTATATCTCTGCTACACTCTTGACCTGTAAGCTGGTCACTTCCGTTTATAATTGAAACAGGCTTTCTTCACTCTGACATCATCCAAGGGCCAGTATTTGTATTTATTAGGGATCCCAAGGCAGCAGCTACTCTTCCTTGGGTAAAAACACATCGAGGCACTTACATCACAAATAAAACACAAGATAAAACTGTACATCATATAACATTATAACACCACTACATATCTATAATATAAAAAGTATAATACCACCATACAACAATATTACAAAGTGCGTTTGTTTGTAGAGTGTGTGTGCGCTAGCGGGTGTGTGCGTATGCTTGTGTCTGTTCCTGTGTGTGTGTATCTCTTCACATTCCCCGCTGTTCCATAATGTGTACCTTTATCTGTTTTTTAAATCTGATTCTACTGCTTGCATCAGTTACCTGATGTGAAATATATAGGGTGAACGCACCAATTGGTGAGTCGCTCTGGATAAGAGCGTCTGCTAAATGACGTAAATGTGCCCTTGAGCAAGGCACTTAACCCTAATTGCTCCTGTAAGTCGCTCTGGATAAGAGCGTCTGCTAAATGACTAAAATGTAAATGTAAATAGAGTTCCATGTAGTCATGGCTCTATATAGTACTGTGTGCCTCCCATAGTCTGTTCTTGGGGATTGTGAAGACACCTCTGGTGACATGTCTTGTGGGGTATGCATGGTTGTCCGAGCTGTGTGCTAGTAGTTTAAACAGACACGTCGGTGCATTCAGCATGTCAACACTTCTTACAAAAACAAGTAGTGATGAAGTCAATCTCTCCTCCACTTTGAGCCATCAGAGATTTACATGCATATTATAAATTTTAAAAAAAGACCCCTTTTTCTCCCCAATTTGGTGATATCCAATTGGTAGTTACAGTCTTGTCCCATCGCTGCAACTCCCGTACGGACTCGGGAGAGGCGAAGGTTGAGAGCCATGCGTCCTCCGAAACACGACCCTGCCAAGCCGCACTACTTCATGACACACTGCTCGCTTAACCCGGAAACCAGCCGCACCAATGTGTCGGAGGAAACACCATACAACTGGCGACCGTGTCAGTGTGCATGCACCCGGCCCGCCACAGGAGTCACTAGAGCGTGATGGGACAACGACATCCCGGCCGGCCAAACCCTCCCCTAACCCGGACGACGCTGGGCCAATTGTGTGCCGCCTCATGGGTCTCCCGGTCGCGGCCGGCTGCGACACAGCCAGGGATGGAACCCGGATCTGTAGTGACGCCTCAAGCACTGTGATGCAGTGCCTTAGACCGCTGTGCCACTCAGGAGGCCCCTACATGTATCATCAAAGGTATTATCTAAGTGAGTTTCAGAGATAGTCAGAATATGAATGCCATCTGTTACTAGCAAGTTATTGATTTCATGAACCTTGTTTCTTAGGCTACATATGTTAATGTGGGCAATTTGTAGCACTTTTCTGGGATGCTTGATTGTTTTTATTGCTTTACTGCGAAGCTTAGCAGAAGTAGACATGCTCATGTTATTTATGTTTGAGCTGATAGTTTCAGGGTGAGCTGCACACAGTGGACTTCCTACTAGGGCAGACCGCCTCAGTGCTAACAGTATAACTCTGGTTCATAGGCACATGATTACTGCATACAATACCTCCTAATGTCGTTTGACCCCACATGGACTATGACAGCGTCAGCTCCCGGCAGCTGCCGTAGAACGGTCGGAAGCAGCGTTGTAATGTCCTGTACTCGTGCTCCAGGATAGCACAGAGTATTTCCCCCGGGAACTATGATGTTTCTTATCATAGAACTGCCGAAGAAGACAGCTGGTGCAATGGCAGAGGAAGTCCGGCCGTTCTTTCGCCTCTAGTGGTTTAGCAAACCCCTCGAGGACCAAAGGGCGGTGAGCCCGATGGACCCGAGCCAGCTGTAGTATCCATCGTGGATGATGAATGGGCTGGTGTCTCAGACAGCCTCACGGTCTGATGAGGGTGGGAGCTCTGAGGATCTGAACCCGAGGTAGAAGCCACCGGAGAGGGAGACAGATGAGAGGACAAAGGCACCGGAGCCTCTGGATCCAGGGCGGCGAAGCTGTTTCTAGTCTGTGTCTGGTCCGGGCTTAACATCTAAAAAGAAGGCCCCCGTTGCTAGAGAACGGCGAGTGACTTATTGCAATGGATGGTTAGCAGGATCTAGAACAAGAACATCCACCAAGTCATCCAGGAGCATCCTACCAACTCCATTCTGTGTGTAAGTGTGTGTACTCGCTCATGCGCATACATGCTGGCAAGTGTTCGTGTTCGTCTGTATGAGTATTTGTGAGTGTGTACTGTATAAGAGTGTGTGTGCGTGCATGTGTGTGTGTGTACCTTAGCCACAGACACTTAGCAAATAAGCCTGGCGTACAGGCTCCGCCGAGCGAAGGGAGATTCCCCACTCGGATGAGGAAATGCAGTATCCAGAAACCCAGAGAGTCTTTCTCGCTCCTCGCTAGATTGCCAAGAGTTGTTTTGCTAAAGCAGACAAGCAGATGTAGAGCATTAGCCTCTCATCTGGCAAGATGCTCTAGCGCTAAACCCTCCATGTTTAAATAATTGATTAGGAGCTTTTAGTGGGCCAGAGCAGAAGGGGAGTTTGGCCAGAGCAGAAGGGGAGTTTGGCCAGAGCAGAAGGGGAGTTTGGCCAGAGCAGAAGGGGAGTTTGGCAAGCTAGTTCATTGTAATTCTGGATGACGAATGACTTGAAGTTTGAGTTTCTCCACAAAGACGTACTGTATGTGTCTGGCATTTTAGTTGGTCTCCCAGCAGCTTACATTGTAAAAACGTGCAAAAACATTCCAACGTTCTGTGAGTTCGTAGTAATGCAATGAATCGTCAAATGAAATATCGTCAAAAGAGCTACAGTAAAAGTATGTGTAGTATCTCTCTCGCTCTCTCTTTCTCTATGTCTCTCTCTCTCTCTCTCTGTGTGTCAAGAGGGAAAGAGTAAGGTGTGCTCTGACTTCTACTAAGCCTACTTTACGAGGAGAAGATAAGCTAATAGTGTTTTAGGGCTGTCGTTTTCTCTGCAAGGTTCTCAGCTCTGCCATGGTCAGGTATGTAGTGCTGCCGTAGCGCGGGGAAGCGGCGCTCCCTCTCTTTTTTTCAATTTGAATATACATGGAGCTGGTAAAAATATTTCTGGAAAAATGACCACTTACATTCCATGAAAACGATAGAATGACAAACTAAATAAATATGTAGTCTATAGCAGCCTATAGGTTGGTATGATGGTTTCCTCCCTGTCTTCTCTCTCTCTGGCAGTGGTGCGAATGATGAATAACTGTAGATGTGTGCAGAGGCCCGTCGGTCTGCGGCTTGACCACTTTGAGCGGGCCAAATCCGACGTAACAACAGCCACAGCCAGAAAACTAAAATGTCTGTCCTCAAAACAGTTGGTTATGGACTTGGGGCTCATGTACGATGCACTTGAACTCGCCCTACTGTCCTAGTGCTTAGCTTACAGAAATGTACCACCTCTATTGTGTATGAAGAGAAAACTGATCCACCGCATGAACCGTATCATCACACCAACGAGATCTAGGATCCAAATTCACTGCCTGTCTGCCTTGATGTTCATAAAACTCCACAGACCTCCTCTTGCGTAGTGGAACCCAGAACGATATGTTGACCACTTGGTTACGGTTCTATCCTTTCAGCACCACGATTCGAAGGGCGCTCAAATCGCTTAAAATAACCCTCATCATCAAGATCTGTTGCCATGCCTAATAGACCTACTCATCACTTATTATTATTACAAATAAAAGATGATCACTTTTCACAATGGTGCTCGTTTAGTAAAGTTAGATCAAAGCTGAATCATTGTCTCGCAAGATCACATAATGATTCATTAGTATTTTACACAACAGAACCAAATATAATAGCGTTTGCTGTAGCATAGTAGGCTTAAACAATGTTGCACCAAAAACACCTCCTCAGTCATTTCTTATCTGAAGCTGAATAGTCAAAACAAATTCCTAATGCTGCCAAAACTCAACAGCGCCCACCACTAGGCAGGATATGCTTTGATTGAATCAAAATTGGCCTACAAGAAAGGCTTATAATTTGTTAACACCATCTGCTTTAATTAGCTTACGAAACAGTAATTTAGAAAGATCTAAATGCATATTCCCATGAAACTGATTGAGAATATTTCACCGGTAAATCGTGAAGAATTATCATTCACTATTGACAGTGATGATGGCCTATTTTGAAATTGGGTATGCCTAACTTAGTGTTTGAGGGTATTAAACATATAACATTTTGTTGAGATAATATGTGAGCATAGGCAGACGTTGCAATTGGAGGATGCATTTTATGTATGGTCCTATTGTACAATGATATTCAATAGGGTACATCTGTCGGTACCAACTTTGATTGGGAAATGATGACGTCATTACATTTTCCATCACCTAAAAAACATAGCACTACACCACTACACCACCCCCCTAGGGTTCCCCCCCAATCACCTCCAGCGGAGTCAGCGTATTTTGACAGATTCAAGTTCTGACTGTTTTCTCTTCTCTTCTTCCCGTCTTTCTTTCTCGTCCTCCCTCTCTGTGTCTCTATCTTTATTTCTGTCTTTGTGAATTATCTACTACCCTCTCTCTCCTCCCCTCCCCTCTCTCACTCCCCCTCTTTTTCTTTCAATTGAATTCAATTAGCTTTATTGGCATAATAAGAAAACATCTTACATTGCCAAATCAAACATAGAGGAACATATTAGATCAATGATTATTAGGAAATAATCTCTCTCTCTCTGTGTGTGTCTTGCTCTCTCTCTCTCTGTCTCTCTCCCGCTCCTGCAGTGATCCAGTACAGCACAGAGACCAAGGAGACGTGTGCCCGCTTCCAACAACAGTGTTCTCAGAACGCCTACTGCACCGACTACTCTTCCGGCTTCTGCTGCCTCTGCCGCTCTGGTTTCTACGGCAACGGTCGTCACTGTCTACCTGACGGTGAGTCCTGGGGAGGACGGTATAGGTCGTGACACAGGCTCCGAGGGTCACCGCCAGGGTCATAATATAGCATAATGTCACACATTTATATTTATGTATTTGAACCAGTGTGGTTTTGTCAGTCATACAACATCTGTGAACAATATTTGGGGTTATTGGTGAGAAAATTGTAATTTGGCTTTCCGTACCTGTATTCCTATTTCCACAGTTCACATTGCCTTAGTGGAAAGGTATGTGTGATATGTATGTACTTAGTGCTGCCTAGAGGGAAAAGAAACACACACACTCCAACTCTTTCCATCTCCGAAATACACACACACACCAATTCTCTCTATTTTACACACACCCAAACTCTCACACACTCATCAAAACCTGGTCTCCACCTCCCCCTCTCCAACCCCCCCGGCTCTCTCTCACATGACAGCATCATCTTGTTTCTAGGCCCTGCAGCCATTTCCTGCCAGATCAACACCTCTGACGCAGTGGTGGGCTCCTCAAACAATCCTCCTATTGGTCCCAGGGCCATGCCAAGCTCCTCTAGCCCCTCGCTAGCTGGCTAATTACCTGGAAGTGGCTTGACAGACATTCCTATTTGGAGAGCAGCGTAAACGCTCTCTCTCACACATGCACACACACACACACACACACACACACACACACACACCCACCCTCTGCACTCTCAACCGCCTCCCTTTATTAGTCTGGCTGCATGTTATTAATCAAGGGGGGTAAGTGTGAGTGTGTGTGTGTCGAAGGGCATGTAAAGTAATGGGGGTGGTATTTAAATGTTAGCTTTATAACAGTATGAAAATGTATGCACTCACTAACTATAAGTCGCTCTGGATAAGAGTGTCTGCTAAATTACTAAAATGTAAAAATAACCGGATGTTTTGGCAGCCAGTCAATGCTTTGACAAATAGAGTCAGTTGACTACTTGAAAGAGTTGGAGGGGATGATGTCACCCTGACTGACTTTCCACTGGGTTGGTTCATCCTCAGGAATGAGGTGTTTTGTCAGAGGCTGAAGTGTCACAACAAACGTGAACACATTGTTCCAGGTAGAAGTGTCAAGGCGAACGTGTGTATATTGTTCCAGGGCTGGAGTGTCAAGACTTGTCAAGCGTGGTACTTGTGAAGCCTTTGTGTGATTTGAGAGACAGTGTGAGACACTGACAGACATGCATGTGCTTTGATGGAACAGGAACACAAACACACAGGGTGCTTTGTAGGGACCTAGTGTGAGTAAATAGAGGAAAAGAACCAATTGAGACTGTCAACACAGTGTCACATAAAGGCATGTTATACAACAAAGTGGGGACCTGAGCCGTATTTTCACAGTGAGATAATTACTACAATAATTCCATATAAATTCAGTCAATTACCAAAATAGGTAAGAATAAATGGCACTTCTCAATTCTTGAATTTGAATTTGAATTGACGGAATTGAAATGGAATTGACGCCAATGCTGAAACCTATACGCCCAGTCTATGTCCCCAAAATACCCCCATGTCCCTTCCTGCTACCTCTGTAGCTGTGTGTTTGTTCCTCAAGTCATACACTTCAAAGACCTGTTTTTAAGCTAAAAATACAGGAAGGATTATAATATTCCATTGGCATCTGTTTTGTCACTTTGTATGTCTATGGAGTTGAATTTGGTGCAGATGTGTGCTATTTGTGGTATTGGTGTTCTCTACATGTTTTGTGTTAGATACACAGACATTGATTGGTTGACAGGCGATGTGTGGGGAAAGTGTTTCTGGTATCCCATTCTGAAAAATGTGAGCAGCATGAATGTTTGCGGAGACTGCATTCTCAGTTTTTTTCGCCGGATTAAGCATAAATGAGCTTTTAGAATGTATGCCCAATACATTGATTCATTCTGAGTAGTATCCCCCCTTCTATTTTCTCAGGTGCTCCCCATCGCGTCAACGGCAAGGTGAGCGGGACAGTGATAGTAGGTTCCACCCCCGTGGACCTCAACAGCGTGGACCTGCATGCCTACATCGTAGTGGGTGACGGGCGGGCATACACAGCCATCAGCGAGGTGCCCGAGCCCGTAGGATGGGCACTAATGCCCGTGGCGCCCATCGGAGAGCTCTTCGGCTGGCTCTTTGCCCTGGAGCTGCCCAACAGCCAGGCTGGCTTCAAGATCACAGGTGAGCTGAATCACGATGTTACCGGCGCTTAGTGAAGTTGTCACCACGTTAACAAAACACCCTTTTACAACCCGTGTTCAGCCTAAACATGACGTCATTGCATCCAATTTTCAGAGTCCTAGTACCTCACTCAATAGTCTCCCTCAGAGTTAGTGTGGCGGTGCTATAAACGTGTTTTAATCTCTACATAAAACTTGTTCTCCATGATGTCACCACTGCATCTATTGCTCTGTGTGTGTGTGTGTGCGTGTGCTTAGGTATGTGTGTGTGTCTGTGGTGTGTGTGTGTGTGCGTGCGTGCTTCGTTTGTGTGTGTCTGTGGTGTGTATGTGTGCGGGCATGCATCTGTGTGGGCGTGCGTGTGTGTTTCTGTGTGTGTGTGAACGAGGCTGTTAGCAGATGCCCCCATGTTGGCAGACTTCAGGTCGCTCTGTGTGTTTGTGTAATGTGAGTTTACAGTCATACAGCTGTGTTGTCTCCAGAGGGGTGACATGCCTACTCCACCCCTCTCAGGCTAATTTGAGTCAGGTGTTCCGTTGTTGTGTGTTTAGACTCGTTTTATTAGCTAAGAGGCTTGTGGATTCAACCTGTCAGAATGATAGTATGCTCAGATTCCCTGTCTGTTGAACAGTTTATCATCTGGCAAATCTGATAGGAGTGACCTACTATTGCAGGCATTAATGTTATTATGGAGAATTGAGAGACTGGGTGTAGTAGTGAGATTCTGCTGGGTCCCAGCCCATTCGAGTGTGGAAGGGAATTAAATTGTAGACCAGATAGCCAAAAGAGCTATACAACGAGATATAATTGAGGTTAATGTTCCACTGGTTAGAGGTGAGGCCAAATGTAAGGTCCTTTTTGATAGATGTGTGGTAGAGGAGATGGGACTCTGAGCCCAAGGGCCGGAATTTACACTACCGGTCAAAAGTTTTAGAACACCTACTCATTCAAGGGTTTTTCTTTATCTTTACTATTTTCTACATTGTAGAATAATAGTGAAGACATCAAAACTATGAAATAACACATATGGAATCATGTAGTAACCAAAAAAGTGTTAAACAAATCAAAATATATTTTATATTTGAGATTCTTGAAATAGCCACTCTTTGCCTTGATGACAGCTTTGCACACTCTTGAGGAGGGACACATGGAATGTGGGATGCACCCGCATGGTGGGGGGAAGTTGCAGGCGGTAGGCCACTTGGTGGACCACTCTGAATGGCCCGACGAACCGGGAGGACAGCTTCCTGGACTCCACGCGGAGGGGAAGATCCCGCGTGGAGAGCCACACCCTCTGTCCCAGGCAAAAAAACAGGGCCGGGCGACGCCTGCGGTTGGCCTGATATTGAGACCTGACCGAGATCCGCTTAAGCGCCGCCCGTACCTGCCTCCAGGTGCTGCGACAGCGACTGATGTGGGCCTGGACCGACGGGACCGCCGCCTCCTCCTCTTGCTCGGGGAATATGGGGGACAGGCCGGTGGATGAGCAGAGAAGGGTGTTGTGGGCGTACTCTGCCCATGCCACCAGGTCCACGGTGTCGAACTGCCGGGAGAGCGCGTCAGGCTTGGTGTTCTTTGACCCCGGACAGTATGAGATGGTGAACCAGAACCTGTTGAAGAACAACGCCCACCTGGCCTGGCGTGAGTTGAGCCTCTTGGCCCCCTGAATGTAGGCTAAGTTCTTATGGTCCGTCCATACGATGAATGGATGGGCGGCCCCCTCTAGCCAATGCCTCCACTCCCCCAGGGCGAGCTTGACCGCTAGCAACTCACGGTTCCCCATGTCGTAATTCCGCTGTGCCGTGGACAGCCTACGGGAGAAAAACGCGCGGGGGTGAGTCTTACCATCCGTGAGGAACCGCTGGGACAGGATTGTTCCCACCGCAACGTCTGAAGCATCCACCTCCACAATGAACGGCAGGGAAGGATCAGGATGCCCTAGGACCGGGGCCGATGTAAAGTGCCGCTTCAGCGCATCAAATGCGTTCCCCGCTTCCGGGTTCCAAGCGAAGGAGCGCACGCTCGTCTGGGTGAGGGCTGTCAGGGGAGCGGCTAGGGAGCTAAAATTGCGAATAAATCGGCTATAAAAATTTGCTCTATGAAGGTCGAATAGCAAAGACCTTACTCAATAGTTATAGTTGTAAAATAAACATATCAGGTTCAAACCACCCAAGGTTTAATCTCATTGCCATGCATTCAACACTACGTATGATGAAAGTAAACAAATATGAAGGGATGACGTCTCTTCCTGTCGCTTATATAGAGATATCACTTCCTTATGATGTCCCTTCCTGTCCCACAGGTGCAGAGTTCACACGCCACGCCGAGGTTACCTTTTACCCCGGCAACCAGCGGCTGAGCATTGTCCAGACGGCCCAAGGATTGGACAGCGAGAACCACCTCAGTGTTGACACACGTCTCTACGGTGACGTGCCCTTCATTGCCCCCGGCGCCACCGTGCAGGTGGAGCCCTACAAGGAGACCTATCAGTACTACCCTTCAGGTGCGCTAGCCAATCACTACGCTAGCCAATAAATAGCCAATCACTGCCCACCAGGGTTGGGATAAATTCAATTTCAATTCGGTCAATTCAGGAAGTAACTAAAATTAGAATTTTCCTTATTGTTTTTCAGTGTGGAAATGTTCAATTGGTATTGGAATTTCAGTTTGCTTCCTGAACTGACTGAATTGAAATTTTTGTTGACCACCTCCACCCCACTTTACCTCACAGGCATTCTGGGCCTTCCATGGCTCCGTTCCAATATCCACACTAGCATACCACCTAGAACGAAGTTCACCTTTTGGGCATATATACATTTTAAGTGGTAAGCTAGTATAGACGTTGGAGCATAGCCATAACTGGAGCCCAGTGGTTTTGCAGACTATGGAACCTGATCAGGAAAACCTCTGAGGATGAGATGGACTATTAGGTGGTAGTTTAAGGAGGTTAGGAAAAATCTTCCTAGCCCGAGTCATGACTTCCTCTCTTCCTGTACCCCCCTGACTCTATTTCAAAGGAAAAAGTTGTTGGCTTCTAGACAGTGGAAAAGCAGATGTGTCTCTTATTTCTCCTCGCAAATGAATCCTAACTTGATAAGCCGAACAAAATACTTTTTCCAACCTACACTACTATTTAACTGGTCCCCATCTGATCTAATGTCATGATGTGACAAAGGCGCCACTAGCCTCCCTCTCCCCTTCCCGAGTGTCTCAGCCATCTCTCGTTGCATGGAGATAAGGATCGGAGGGGGGCTAGTTGCTAGTGGACGGTTGGGGCTATAAAAAGAACCAACCTCTGAGACTTCACTGCCTTCACTTCCTTTTGGAGGAAGCCGGGGACAGATTTTTTATGTGCTCCCGGAACGTAAACTGTTTTTCATCTGAAGGGCCCACTGGATGAGGAAGTGTTCAATTAGCAGAGCCACTCATCCTGCCAGGGCTGATTATAGACCAGGGTCGTTAGGGTCATCAAAAGGAAGGGGGTTTTCTGGTCTTGGTAAAAATGTTATTTCAAGGTGCACTGCTCCAGACCAAACAGTAGTCCATATAACAGATCATAAGCATTGTAGAAACAGCTCACTGGGCAAAAACGGGTTGCATCAACATTATTTCCTCGTCATTTCAACAAAACAATTCTATGTGATGACGTTGAATCAACGTGGAAAACTGATTGGATTTGCAAAAAGTCATCAACGTAAGGGAATCTCGTATTTTTGTCACCCAACATTTAACCTAAATCCAATGACATGGTAATTTGTTTTGTTGATTTCACTTTGAATTCACGTTAGTTGACAACTCAACCAAATGTAAATAAATAAATAAATAATAAATAAAAAATAGACGTTGAACTACTGTCTGTGACCGGTGGGAGAGCGGCACAGACCTGAGTAAAAATAGTACTTGTTTTCTTTTGAATACTTTGTGTTTGATTGAGCCTGTCTAGAGTGCTAGACGGGTGGGTATTGCACTTTTGGGACTATTCAATTGGTTCCATTGCGCCAGGCAAGTTCAGTCGAGTGCCGCTCAAGTATTTGAAAGAAAACAAATACTATTTGGACTGTGCTGTTTCTAGAATGTGTCTATGATCAGTTATAAAAACTACGACAAATGGTGCTTGTAAAACAAATGTAAAGAGCGTTCATGACACCCAGTAACACAAAATGCTAAATTTTATCATATGCCATGACTCTATAAAATGGCATAAAAGCTTTATTACAGCACAGATACATCAACAACAGACAATTTCATATGATCTATTATTGTGGATAATGTACTCTGTCAACAGACTATTTCAACTCGTACATCGTAGGTAATGTAGCCTTTCTATAGGTTTCAACTGGTGCATAGTGGGTAATGTAGTCTCTTCTCCCCTCCCGACTCAGTGGTGAGGTCCACGTCGGTGCGGCAGTTCACAGTGGTGTCGGCGGAGCGCGGCTCGGAAACATTCACCTTCCAGCTGCATCAGAACATCACGTACCGCGACTGCCGCTACGGGCCTCGAGTGGGGCCTGAGACGCTGCAGCTGACCACAGAGCGTGTCTTCGTCATGTACGTCAAGGAGGAGAACATCTTGAGATATGCCATCACCAACAAGATAAGCCCAGTCGGAGGTCAGTTCAAGTTTAAAGTTCAGAAGTTATTGTACCATTTTTCTTCTTGGTAGTGTTGTCTGTGAGGTTGTGTGATGGGAAAAGGTATGGGGCTGGGTATGTGTTTTGTCTGGTTGTGCAGTCGTTTGTGAAAGATGACAGTTACAAAGGTAAAGTTTCCAGATAAACTTTTTTGGCATACAGTAATTATAAACCTGTTATTACATGAAGTAGAGTCAGTTGAGTGTGGGCATACAGTACCAGTCAAAAGTTTGGACACACCTACTCATTCCAGGGTTTTTCTTTATTTTTACTATTTTCTACATTGTAGAATAATAATGAAGACATCAAAACTATGAAATAACACATATGGAATCATGTAGTAACCAAAAAAGTGTTAAACAAATCTAAATATATTTTATATTTGGCATTCTTTAAAGTAGCCACCCTTTGCTTTGATGACAGCTTTGCACACTCTTGTCATTCTCTCAACAAGCTTAATGAGGAATGCTTTTCCAACAGTCTTGAGTTTCCACATATGCTGAGCACTTGTTGGCTGCTTTTCCTTCACTCTGCGGTCCAACTCATCCCAACCCATCTCAATTGGGTTGAAGTCAGGTGATTGTGGAGGCCATGTCATCTGATGCAGCACTCCATCACTCTCCTTAGTCAAATAGCCCTTACACCTTGCCTGGAGGTGTGTTTTGGGTCATTGTCCTGTAGAAAAACAAATGATAGTCCCACTAAGCGCAAACTAGATGGGATGGCGTATGGCTGCAAATGCTGTGGTAGCCATGCAGGTTAAGTGTGCCTTGAATTCTAAATAAATCACAGACAGTGTCACCAGCAAAGCAGCCCACACCATCACACCCCCTCCTCCATGCTTCACGGTGGGAACCACACATGCAGAGATCATCCGTTCACCTACTCTGAGTCTCACAAAGGCATGGCGGTTGGAACCAAAAATCTCAAATTTGGACTTTACAGACCAAAGGACAGATTTCCACCGGTCTAATGTCCATTGTTCGTGTTTCTTGGCCCAAGCAAGTCTCTTCTTCTTATTGGTGTCCTTTAGTAGTGGTTTCTTTGCAGCAATTCGACCATAAAGGCCTGATTCATGCAGTCTCCTTGGAACAGTTGATGTTGAAATGTGTCTATTACTTGAACTCTGTGAAGCATTTATTTGGGCAGCAATCTGAGATGCAGTTAACTCTAATGAACTTATCCTCTGCAGCAGAGGTATCTCTGGGTCTTCTTTTCCTGTGGCGGTCCTCATGAGAGCCAGTTTCATCATAGCGCTTGATGGTTTTTGCGACTGCACTTAAAGAAACTTTCAAAGTTCTTGAAATGTTCCGTATTGACTGACCTTCATGTCTTAAAGTAATTATGGACTGTTGTTTCTCTTTGTTTATTTGAGCTGTTCTTGCCATAATATGGATTTGGTCTTTTACCAAATAGGGATATCTTCTGTATACCACCCCTACCTTGTCACAACACAACTGATTGGCTCAAACGTATTAAGAAGGAAAGAAATTCCCCAAATTAACTTTTAACAAGGCACACCTGTTAATTGAAATTCATTCCAGGTGACTACCTCATGAAGCTGGTTGAGAGAATGCCAAGAGTGTGCAAAGCTGTCGTCAAGGCTACTTTGAAGAATGTCAAATATATATCTATTTTGATTTGTTTAACACTTTTTTGGTTACTACATGATTCCATATGTGTTATTTCATAGTTTGGATTTCTTCACTATTATTCTACAATGTAGGAAATAGTAAAAATAAAGAAAAACCCTAGAATGAATAGGTGTGTCCAAACTTTTGACTGGTACTGTATGTCAACTGTGAACATGTATTCTTTTGGTTGATGTCTTCGCTAACATTAGCCATATACAGTGGGGAAAAAAAGTATTTAGTCAGCCACCAATTGTGCAAGTTCTCCCACTTAAAAAGATGAGAGAGGCCTGTAATTTTCCTCATAGGTACACGTCAACTATGACAGACAAATTGAGGAAAAAAAATCCAGAAAATCACATTGTAGAATTTTTAATGAATTTATTTGCAAATTATGGTGGAAAATAAGTATTTGGTCACCTACAAACAAGCAAGGTTTCTGGCTCTTGCAGACCTGTAACTTCTTCTTTAAGAGGCTCCTCTGTCCTCCACTCGTTAGCTGTATTAATGGCACCTGTTTGAACTTGTTATCAGTATAAAAGACACCTGTCCACAACCTCAAACAGTCACACTCCAAACTCCACTATGGCCAAGTACAAAGAGCTGTCAAAGGACACCAGAAACAAAATTGTAGACCTGCACCAGGCTGGGAAGACTGAATCTGCAATAGGTAAGCAGCTTGGTTTGAAGAAATCAACTGTGGGAGCAATTATTAGGAAATGGAAGACATACAAGACCACTGATAATCTCCCTCGATCTGGGGCTCCACGCAAGATCTCACCCAGTGGGGTCAAAATTATCACAAGAACGGTGAGCAAAAATCCCAGAACCACACGGGGGGACCTAGTGAATGACCTGCAGAGAGCTGGGACCAAAGTAACAAAGCCTACCATCAGTAACACACTACGCCTCCAGGGACTCAAATCCTGCAGTGCCAGACGTGTCCCCCTGCTTAAGCCAGTACATGTCCAGGCCCGTCTGAAGTTTGCTAGAGTGCATTTGGATGATCCAGAAGAGGATTGGGAGAATGTCATATGGTCAGATGAAACCAAAATAGAACTTTTTGGTCAAAACTCAACTCGTCGTGTTTGGAGGACAAAGAATGCTGAGTTGCATCCAAAGAACACCATACCTACTGTGAAGCATGGGGGTGGAAACATCATGCTTTGGGGCTGTTTTTCTGCAAAGGGACCAGGACGACTGATCCGTGTAAAGGAAAGAATGAATGGGGCCATGTATC